CTACCGCACTACCTGTACATTGAGCAACCCCGCAGACAAAAGCCCATCACCCTCTCACCTTTCCCAATGCGTGTGTCGCGCCGCTGCAACTTTCCAGCTTCCTTCCCGCCGCGCACGTCAGGCTGACCTTAGCATTCGTCTCGATCGCAATATGTGTATAGAGACGATAACCATTCCCTGTTCAAATTCTTCAGGAAACCCTAGTCAATCCCCGTTGTGTATGCGAATGAAATTCATCCGTCACTACTAGTACCGTGTGTCAGGGCAATGCGCTTATTAGTGATAATGGTGTGTTCCCGCGAGTTACTTCCAGCGTTTGCTTGTGCATTATTAGTACTTTCACTGCTTTCGGTGGTATACTTTCCCGTGCAACTTTTGGACGTCTCAAAAGACTCCGCGTGTCTATCCACCCTCTCATCCGCATCTGCCTCTCCTCCGCGCCTTCTCTTCTCTTCCTTTTCGCCTCCCAGTCCCGCTCCTCCCAATCCCGCCTTCCCCATTCCTCCTGCTCAGTCCCAATACGGCTCCTTTCCCTCCCCCTGTTCCCCGCAGCGGCGGTGCTGGCGGAGTGTCAGGGGCAGTGGCAGGCGCAGCTGCGCGGATGGAGCAAGGGGGGGGACTGCGCGCAGGTGGAGGGCGTGCGCTGCAACGCGGCTGGCTTCATCGTCTCCCTGTGCGCCCTGCACGCCTTCCCCACCCGCTTCCCCTCCCCGCTCTCCCTCTCCCCTCCCCCTCTCTCCCCGCCCGCTCTCTTCCCGCTCCCTCTCTCCCCGCCCCCCCTCTCCCTGCCCACTCTGTCCCCGCCCCCTCTTTCCCCGCCTCCCTTCTCCCGGCTCCCACTCTCAACTCCAACTCTCTCCCCGCCCTCACTCTCCCCACCCACTGTCTCCTCGCCCCCTCTCTCCCCGTCCCATCTTCATCTGCCTTCCCCCTTTTTGGATGGGAAGTTGAATTCATGAGTTGAAGCAGGATGGTGGGGCATCTGGGGAAGTGACTGTGAATTTCCATGGGCCAAGCCTGCTGGGCCAAGCCTGCTGGGTCAAGCCTGATGGGCCAAGCCTGCTGGGCCAAGCCTGCTGGCCCAAGCCTGCTGGGCCAAGCCTGCTGGGCCAAGCCTGCTGGACCAAGCCTGCTGGACTAAGCCTGCTGGACCATAGGGATGAGCACAATACCGAACCATGGTTCGGTTCGGTGCGGTTCGGTTTGGTGCGGTTCGGTTTGGTATTCACCGAACAGAGCTGTATTTTTATGTCATGCCTTCTGGACCATGTCCACCATGCCCCCCATGCTCCCCATGCCCCCATGGCCCCCATGCCCCCATGCCCCCATCCCCCCCTGTAGGGAAGTGAGTGGCAAGCAGTTGGAGGGGCCCATTCCAGATGCCATTGGGAACCTCACTGCACTCACTCAACTGTACGCTGCCATGCCATGCCATGCCATGCCATCTGATGTGAGGCCATGCCATGCCATGCCATGTGATGTGAGTCCATGACATGCCATGCCATGCCATGTGATGTGAGGCCATGCCATGCCATGCCATTGATGTGAGGCCATGCCATGCCATGTGATGTGAGGCCATGCCATGCCATGCAATGACATGTCATGCGATGTGAGGCCATGCCATATCATGCCATGCCATGCCATGTGATGTGAGGCCATGCCATGTGATGTGAGGCCATGCCATGTGATGTGAGGCCATGCCATGCCATGCCATGTGATGTGAGGCCATGCCATGCCATGCCATGTGATATGAGGCCATGCCATGCCATGCAAGCCCAAGTCATGTGAGGCCATGCCAGGCCATGCTACTGTGTGAGGTGATTCGTCGATCCCATGCAATTATGATTTCCATCCACCCATGGCTGGCCTGGCCTATCTCCACCATGCCATTTCTACCTTCGGCTGATTCCTTTCTTGCCTTACACGCCGTACCTCTGACGTACAACCTCAATGCCAACAACTCCCATGCCATGCGTGCCTGTCCCATGCCATGCGTGCCAACCACTCCCATGCCATGCGTGCCAGTCCCATGCCATGCGTGCCAGTCCCATGCCATGCGTGCCAACCACTCCCATGCCTTGCGTGCCTGTCCCACGCCATGCCATGTGATGTGAGGCCATGCCATGCCATGCCATGTGATGTGAGGCCATGCCATGCCATGCCATGTGATATGAGGCCATGCCATGCCATGCCATGCAAGCCCAAGCCATGTGAGGCCATGCCAGGCCATGCTACTGTGTGAGGTGATTCGTCGATCCCATGCAATTATGATTTCTATCCACCCATGGCTGGCCTGGCCTATCTCCACCATGCCATTTCTACCTTCGGCTGATTCCTTTCTTGCCTTACACGCCGTACCTCTGACGTACAACCTCAATGCCAACCACTCCCATGCCATGCGTGCCTGTCCCATGCCATGTGTGCCAACCACTCCCATGCCATGCGTGCCTGTCCCATGCCATGCGTGCCAACCACTCCCATGCCATGCGTGCCAACCACTCCCATGCCATGCGTGCCAGTCCCATGCCATGCGTGCCAACCACTCCCATGCCTTGCGTGCCTGTCCCATGCCATGCGTGCCAACCACTCCCATGCCATGCGTGCCAGTCCCATGCCATGCCTGCCAACCACTCCCATGCCATGCATGCCAACCACTCCCATGCCATGCGTGCCTCCCGGGGTCTTGGCCCTGCATCCTGCACCTCATTTCCCTCCCTGACCGCCCTCCATACAACTTCCCCCGGTCCAGGCGTCTCACAAGCACCAAGCTCACAGGCTCCCTCCCAGCCACCATGCCTTGCCTCACCCGCTTAGAAGACCTGTGAGTGGCAAATTGGCCGTGCTGCAAGCAATTCTCGAGGCACCTCAGAACCATCACCAATACATCGCATACATGGCAAGCCAAGCTGGATTTGCACTTTCTCCCATGCGTTCCATCATAGCAGCAAGCTAGGGTCTTCCATGGGAAAAAGGGTTCCTAGCGCATCCCATGAGAAGAAGGTCTGTTACATTTTTCTCAGGAGGGCGTTACCTAAGGAGGCGCCTCATAACTCATCTCACAAGGAAGAAGGTCTCTCATGTCACCGCATATGTATTTCATGCATATGCAATAACAGGAGTAGATAGGTATAGGATGTGCTACTTAGGATAACAGTTTAGGCACTTAATGCATAGACAAATAGATGAAGAGGATAGTGTAGAAGCATAGGGTGGTTACTGTTTACCTAGCGGTAGAAAAGGGGGGGAGCTCAGTAAAGAGCGGTTGGGAATCAGGGGGGAAAGGCGCCGAAGGGCGAAATGTGAAACCAAACAATCCCAACCCCGCGCCGCACATTTGGAAATGTGCAGCCTGGAGTTGGGTAAGGTCACTCACGTCCAACCCCTCGATGCTTCTTGCCTGTTATTCTCTCGTGATAGTGGGAGTTGGCACTTGAGCTTCTAGCATACAGTGGCACGCCATTAGGAGGGAACCTACGGGGTGAGGGAGTGATCTCTTTCAGGGAGTGGCTGAGGCAGAGCAGCACATAGAAAGAAAGAGGCAAGAAGGTGGCAGGGAGAAAGACAGGAACAGAAAGGAGCAGAGCTCCCCAACAGGAGGTTGCAAGAAGAAGCACAGGCGCGGGAAGGAGTGAGGTTCTCCGACACTCATGTTCCTGAGCTGGCCGATACCTAGTTTTCACAAGCCAAGGGTCTTGCAGAAGCTGCTCAAGGCCATGTTGGTGATGTTTCTCCCTGTCCCCCCTCCTCATGTGGCTCGCATGGCAGAGCTCTCAGTTTCAACAGATTGTCAGGCTCCATTCCAGAAGCCATTGCTGATCTGGCTGCCCTCTCACGCCTGTAATATCCCATAACTCACCTCCTCCATCCACCATGTCATGCCATATCATACATTCCAGATGCGATAAGCCATATGCCCCCAAAAAAATTAGGCAGTCCGGAAAACAAATTAGGGAAAAAAAAGGGCCGAGTTTCCGCACTGAAAACGCACCCTCCATATTAAATCGGCACTTTTCACCCGCGAACAAACCCAACTCCTACACCTCCTCCTCACCCCCCTGACCCCCAAGTTTTTTTCTGCCTGCCCAGGGCTATTTTTTCCCTGCCCACCTGAACATTCAAAGGGAACTTCAAGGGTTTTGACCCTAGCGTTTTGCCATGAGCGTCAAATCTCTTCACCCATGCACAGAACGGCAACTACTTTGCATGGAGGAGTTGTACCTTGTTGGTTGCTGTGCTGGTTGGGTGCGCACTGTACAACATCTTGGTCACGCCACTTGCTCGCTCCCTATGTCTCCGCTGTCCTACGTGCCTTGCTCTCCACCTGTACCACTTGTTGTGCCTGGATAGGTCTCTTGACAGCAACAAGATAAATGGCGCAATCCCGTCATCCATCTCGCGTCTGTCCAATCTCACATTCTTGTGAGAACTAGTCTCTGCCACTGCTCATCGTCTTTCTGTGTGTGGTACCATTAGGGAGCCCTGGCTCAAGGGTGCCCTGGCTTAGGGGGGTGCCCTTCCCCAGGCTCCACCCATCACACCACGTGCATCACGATCCTCACTGACCCTCACTGGCCCTCACTGACCTGACCCTTGCTGACCCTCACTGACCTGACCCTTGCTGCCCCTCACTCTAATGAGCAGTCTTCCACACCAAAACACAATGTTGGAAGCTGTTTTTGAGATCAGATCATTGTTAAGAATTAGGTTGTTCTTTAGAATTACGTCGTGTTTTTAGAATTAGTTGGTATTTTTAGAATTCTCAGAAATGGCACACCTAGTAGCAGTCTTGAGTGCTAATACACAATGTTGGAACGATCGAGATGGAAGCGAGAAATATCAGGAAAGAGAAAGGCATGTGTGCCTTCGTGACGTCTCCATCGATTGCGTGACAAGTGAGACCATGTGCTGCAATGGCCTCTCTCTGCTGCTGCTTATGCCCTCACGTCACATCTGCATCAACTGCTTTGCTTCTCGTGTGCCCTGACGTTGCACCGGAGCAGGAATCTTGAAAGTAACAAGTTAGTGGGCTCAATCCCGTTGGCCATATTCCACCTCACCAAGCTCGCATTCTTGTGAGTATGCCACCTCACCAACCTCGCCTTGTTGGCCGCCCTTGGACTCTACAGAAGCTGGGTATTTTTCGCAGAAGTTGAATCTGTTCGCAGAAGCCGAATAGTTCGCACAAAGGCTGAATACGTGCATGGCTTTAATTGCTGGATGAGAAATCGTTCCACCTTAGGCACAGTGGCACTTTGCCGGCACACAATGCTGGGCTACTAAGGTGAGACGGGCCAGTCAGTGAAGCAAGGAGCATGTTGCTGCTGGTTAGGCAAAACTGGCTGGCAATTGCAGTGCTCAACACATTTGGCTTGTGCCGAAACTTGTGTGCCCGAGCCAAGTCTACATGCAAGCTCCAACACTGGTTCTCAACTTAACATGACAACAGGACCTGCTCCAAGGGTCGATCTAGCACTGGCTCATCCCATTTCTCATGTGCCGTCTAGGTTCTCCATAACACCTGAAGTACACTGCTTCTACGAATCACATCCACCCTTTTTCACAACTCAGTCGGCTGAAAGAGCCATGGCTGGCTAATTGTTTTCACTAACAACTCAGATTCCCTTCGCGACTTTCTTACGCCCTTTGTAAGAGAGAGAGAAAAAAAAAGTTTCGTAACTCACCCAGTGCTGTGTGTGTGCATTGTTAGTGTTAGCCCTCAATCTCACAATTTGTACTTTGTATTTTCTATATCCTAGAGTAGTGTAGTTTGCACATTGTGTTTGGTTGGGTGTACACCTACATCCCAACCAAACCCAAATGTGATCTCCAAGCAATCTCCAACCCACCAATTGGAGGTTGCCTTGGAATTACCCCCACTTTCCGATTCCCTCCCCCATCCATTCATTGGTCGTCCTGAATGTACTTAAAGAGCTTCGAGCTCATTACTAATCGATGGATTTCTGATATGTATGTGTGTGTTGTGCCTGGGGCACATGTCAGGGACCTTCGATGGAATGTGCTCTCAGGCTCCATTTCCTCAGCGATTGCCAACCTCACTCGCCTCTCCTACCTGTAAGCGCGCTTCCTGCAAATCATCTCAGGATAGGGACAAGCCATTGCCCGGCCCTTGCTACTTCTGATCGGGGGCACCAGCAGAGAGTGTTTGAACCAACCATGCGGTGTCAGAACTTCACGTATCAGCTCGCACTTGGCCAAGCCACCTCTCCATGATGCCAAGCCACGCCGAGCCAAAGCAAGTCTCGAGTCTTGAGTTGAACCTGTCCAGCCGAGGGACTGTGCTGTGTGTCCTGTGCTCGAAGGAGCTGTGCTCGGCAACGTCTCACATCATTTGAGTCTGCTGTGTGTCTCATCGTGTCACCTGGGTGTGGCCTGAGCTGGGCCTGTCTTTGTCACATTCAGTTTTGAGAATTCTCAAAATTTATTTCCATCTTTCGGAAATTCTTATAAGGTTGTTTCATAAGGCAACTGAAAGTCGCTAGGCTTGAGCCGCAACGGGCCTGTCTTTGTCACCCTTGCGGTTCAGTTTTCCGCCTTGCTTGCATTCGTTTGGTGCACGGTTGGCCTAATTCGGTTAGATTTCAGTGATGCCTGAAGGCGGCAGTAGGAGCACCAGTTGCAGGGGACACGCCGCATTGTATGGAACCGAACCAGAGCTTCAAGGAGCTTGCATTGTTGCTAAGAGGCCAATGGTGCTCTCACTGGTCTCACCTTGTTAGGGGACGATGATTGAGTCGACTAAAACAATTTGCCAAGAGGCTAATGGTGCTCGCACTGGTCTCACCTTGTTAGCGATGTTTGATGTCAGCTAGGAGACACACCCCTCGTCATTAACCTTGGCAGCAAAGGAGACACAAGGCCGATCTTGAGTCCCCATTGAGACTTCAAACTAGGCACCAGTGAGAGCTGAGTCTCTGTGGCAGCCCAACCAACCTTTCTGGTCAATCTTGGTAGCGAAGGACTCACAAGGTTGTTGGATTGAAATGCGTAGCGTTGTGTTGAGATAAGAGGGCACAGGTGGAGCTTCGAAAGTGGTTTCATGTGACCAAAAGCAAAGGCATGCTGGATGGGACATTCGCTGCTCCATATGGCGTCGTCATGGCTAACCCACCCCGTGCCGGTGCCACTTTCTCCCTAAATGCCCCTCGCTGTGCCTGTACAGGTCACTAGGCGGTAACAGACTCACTGGCGCAATCCCTTTATCTCTCTTCCGCCTCACAAATCTTGCCATGTTGTGAGCACACTCTTCCACCGCACCAATCTTGCCATGCTGTGAGGCTGCAAGAGAGCCATCGGACATGCCTCATTCCCTATCGTGCAACTAGCAGCTAGTGCATGCAATAAACGACAGAAGCAGCTTCTTTGAGAAAGTTATGCTTCCTTGATGTAAACGAGCGTGGTTCACTTATGAGTGAAGGCTGAGCTAGATAGTAGATGCGAAATGGAAGAAGCGGTTTGAGTTGCCTTCTCACCCACCCTCCATGCAATCCAAATTAGTGTGATGA